TTCGCTACCCAGGTCCTCCATTAAATACATAATCATAATGAATAAATAAATGAATCTGACTATCTCTTCCCCCCTAAAAAAAGTTAGCATAAATAAAAATGTTATATATATATTTATATATATAGAAAGTGTAGGGGGAGGAGAAACTACAAACTATGAGACAAATCAAGCAACTGTAAATTAGGTCTTTGAATAGTGATTCAAACAAAGTATGAAAAATAACTATAAGAGAATTGGAAGGCTGTGAACCCAGACTGGATACTTGATACCAAGGGAATACTATTTAATACTTTAAGATGTGATAATGATATTGTAGTTATAGTGTCTAAATGTTTTATCTTTTAGAGGTCGCTGCTGAAATTTTACAGACAAAATGATATGTCTGAGATCTGACTCAAAATAAATTGGGGGACAGAGCAGGAGGGGTCATACATGAATTAAGATCAGTAACTGTTTAACCGGCGGTCGGTACATCAGGTTCATTGCCACTCTCTTTACTTTTGAGCATGTTTTAAAGTGTCGATGTGAAAAAAGCACACTCTTCAGGTGAGTGTGCTTCCCTAAATTTATCCTAAGAGCACCCAAGGCGTTAGAGGAAAGGGAGCTCTTACCCGTCACAGTCAAAAATGTCAGAGAGATGAGAAGATTGATGCCCCAGTTCATGCTGGAAGTTAGAGCCATGGCTCGTCCTCGAATTCCACCAGGAAAAATCTCGCTCAGCACCAGCCAGGGCACTAGAAGAAAGGGAAGAGTGGGTGCAGGACAGCAAAATGATCAAAACTCATTGAAATTGAGGGTCAACCCGCTGACCTCTGCCCGAGTCCTGCATGACTTGTGGTCAGAGAGCAGGGCCAGGTCTTTCACAGGAGGAGTGCAGAGCGATGGGCTTTCTCCCCACCTCCAACCACATGAGGAGGGATTCAGGAGAAACACTCAGAGAGCTTGACAATTGTCGGTGGATGTTGGGGGAGGGACATAGGGCTGGTAGGTGACACTGGCCTGAGAAATGCACGTGGCACAGTGGGTGGGGTGGGGTGTGGCTGGGGCCACCTGCCAACAGCAAGAGAGGCAGCTCTGGGCCTCTGCCAAGCACAGAGCCTCAGTGCCAGAGCCCGGCTCTACCGGATTTACTCTGGGCCTTTTCTGGTCATTTCCTTTGTCCCCAACCTTGGGGAAATCCAGCACCGTGGCTACTGAGTGGGAGGAGCGAGTAGGAGGGCAGGAGGAAGGAGGCTGGCCATGCGCCCCGCTCCCACTTGGGCTTTCTAGCTGGTGGCAAGTGGGGTGGAGAGAAGCTCTAAATTAAACAGAGCTCCAGGATTTGTTATCCTACCAGACCAAACACTTGACTTTCTGAAAGCAGACTCTTCCTGGCATGAAAACTGATCAGAGAGCTTTTTATTATCTGAGAGTGACAGAGGGCATTCTGGGACCTGCCTGATGGGATTAGAGAGGGCGGCAGAGGAGCAAGCTGACTTTCTTCTGCTCACGGCCTCTCAAACCCAGTTTGCCTAATAGCTACAAGTTCTTACCATGGGCCGAGCACTTTACTGGCCTAATCTCATTTGATCCTCCCTAAATTCCCACAGACAGGAGCTAATATTACTCTCGCGCTCTCATAGAAGAGGAAACTGAGACTTAAAGGAGGTGATAATTTGCTGAGGCCACAGAGCTGCTAAGTGGCAGAGGTGGCACTGAGCCCAGGCAGTCTCTGGAATGCATGCTTTTTTTTTTTAAATTGAAGTTTAGTCAATTTACAATGTTGTGTTAGTTTCTGGTGTACAGCATAGTGATTCAGTTATACATATGTGTGTGTGTGTGTATATATATATTCTTTTCTAGATTCTTTTTCACTGTAGGTTATTACAAGATATTAAATATTGTTCCCTGTGGTATATAGTAAGACCTTGTTGTTTATTTGCTTTATATAGTAGTTTATATCTGCTAATCCCAAACTCCTAATTTATCCCTCCCCTCTCCTTTCCCCTTTGGTAACCATAAGTTTGTTTTCTATGTCTATGAGTCTCTTTCTGTTTTATAAATTAAATTCATTTGTATCTTTTTTTTTCAGATTCCACATATAAGTGGTATATGATATTTGTGTTTTTCTGTCTGACTTACTTCACTTAGTATGATCATCTCTAGGTCCATCCATGTTGCTGCAAATGGCATTATTTCATTTTTTATGCCCAAGTAGTATTCCATTGTGTGTATATACACACACACACACACACACTTACATACATATATATATCTTCTTTATCCAGTCTTCTGTCAATGGACATTTAGATTATTTCCCTGTCTTGGCTATTGTAGATAGTGCTGCTATGAACATTGGGGTGCATGTATCTTTTCAAATTAGAGTTTTCTCCAGATATATGCCCAGGGATATATTGTGGGATCACATGGTAACTCTACTTCTAGTTTTTTAAGGAACCTCCATACTGTTCCTTGGGCTGCCTGTACCAGAATCATAGAGCTGTCACCTGTGTCTCTGATTGAAAGTTTACCTTTCATGACGAACTCATGCTCTGTAGAGAAAAACACCTGCTCCTAGTAAATTTGCTGTTTTGAAGTAAGAAAAATAACTAAATTATACAAGAAGGCTGGAAACACATTTTTTTTTCTGGATAATCTTCTCCCAGTGAATCAACATAGGTTTAACTTTAGGGCATGGAAGATAATTGTAACGAACAGAACATGATTATTATCATTCTAATTAATCGGGACTTGAAAAATAATATTTCAGACCCTTCTCATCCACTCTGTGCCCTAGGTTCTTGCAGATTATATCCTTGGAGACCAGTGCAAAGCTTAGGGAATCTTGCCTTGACCTTTGCAAGACTGGAGATCTGGCTCCAAGTAGAAAGATCGCTGCATAATTCTGGGGAAACCTTTGTAATGACCTGTCCTTGGGCAAATACAAGATAGAAGTATGTACGCACAATCTGTTGAAGGTAAATAATCCCCGCCACAGGCCAGTCCCTCTAGGCCCCTTCCTGCTTTGGATATTTGATGAGGGTACAGGTGAAACAGAGGATTCCTTACGGCCTTCTGCTCTAGCAGACACAGGACACTCTCATTTTCTTTGAGTTTAAGAGGTACCACCAGTTTTCTTGATCTACTTCCAACCTACTTCATCACCTCTGAAGCCTCCTCCTTCTTCCACCTCTCCCCACTTTGCATCATGATGGCTTCTTAGAATTATTTGATGGGATTTGGGGAAACTCGTTTCCACATTGTCCTTAGACAAGAACGAGCCGATCATGTTGTTATAGAGAGTGGGAGATCTTGCCAACAAGAAGATGGGAGAGCGGCACAAAGCACCAGGTACAAGGGCTCAATCTAGACTGTCAGGGACTTGCCTACAAGAACCCCACACCCACAATGAAGCCTGCCCTCGGCATGCATTCAGTGCCGCAGCTGAGCCAAGTTCTTAGGCAGTTTAACCAGTCTGAGAGCAATGAACTGAATATGGAAAAAGAGATTTCCGTCAGTCTTTGACGGGTCCTTGTTGTCAGGCAAAACTTACACCTGACGTTTCCAAAAGTGAAGTATCATTGCTGAAAGCACCTATGTCTTTTCCCATCTAGTGGAAAGAATTCAAGAATTAATGCCTTGATTTATCTAATAGTGACAAACTGGATGTTGCAGCAAATGACAAGGATTTTGACAAGGATGGTTTAAAATCCCCAGTGTGGAACCCATCAAGTCAAAAATAAGAATATTGTTTTAAGAATGATTTCAGAACCGTAAGATCACAGCTTTTCAGATCCAGAAAGAGCAGAGTGAAATGGAAATTGGAAAATGGTACTTGCAGCAAGACGGAACTTGCTGAAAAGGTAAAGTATTTTCCACCGCAGACTTAGGAGCAAGGTGGTGCCAGAGTCTTACAGGCCTCCATGTCCCCTGGAAAAGGGCTGTGACTACCCAAAGCAGAAGGAATGGAGACACTATTTCAGTTAATAAGTAAAGAGCACAGAGGTCCAGAGCATCACATGGGGATTTAATATGTTGACATTTACAATAACAGGTAGAAGTGTTTTTTTTTTTTTTAAATCCCTATGTTTTTTCCTGATTTCTCACCAACAAAAATCAAGTTATGGCCACATGGCACAGGAAAGAAGTGGTGGCTCTCTCTAGGTGTCCTCATTATCCCCCACCCCCATGAGAGGCCCGGGGGATGCTTTGTGCTATCTGCTGCTGGTGACGCACCCCCAGCATCGTTCAGAGACACAGTAACCCTTCTGCAGGGAGCGCAGCTGCTCGCTGCAGGTCAGCTGGCCCTGCCACTGTTGTCCTTGACCCCTATTTCCTCACCTTTAATCCCATCCCTCCAGGGCCACCTCGGCAACAGATGCCCCTATCAATGTCAGAGTCTGCAGTGTGTCTCGAAGGCCTTCTCTAGGCTGCCAGGATTGAGGAAATCTGGACTTGCTGGGAGAAAACTGTCCACAAATATTCGAACTCTTATTTCATATGGTATTAAATCACCAAGGCTGCCTGTCAGAACTTGCCTGAGCTGGATGAAATCTGCAGACAGAGTTTATGACTGTATGAAGCGTCATAAAAAGACCAGGAAGGACAAGTGCGTGGAAGCATCTCTGTGTGCAGTGGAGGACACGGACTCGGATTCACAGGGCAACCAGTGGAGATGGCTGAGCTGTATTACACGTAAACTGCGGGGCTCATCTCCCTCCCCCCTCCTCGTTCCTGCCACTGCTGCAGTCCCTCCCCTCACCGGCTCTCACTTCATTCCCTGTGCTTTCAGATCTAAACCCCACCGCTCCAAGCAGGCTTTTCGAGTGGTTTGAGCATTTCCTGAACCACCCGGCATGCTAGCCTCAAGTTTGAAAGACTCAGTGAGGCCTTAGAACTAACTCCCAGCAACTTTGGAGGAAGCACTATACTCAGGCTGCAGAATTCTCAGCAGCTTGTTTGAGCCAGGGTCCTATACTTTGTAGGAGCGAAGCCAAATCTGATGGCTTTATTGCCTTTTCAAGCAGCACGCAGCAAACATAGCTCTTCTCTGACTGTGAAGGGGTATTTAAAATGTGAATTTGCTCTAATAGCCTATAATAAAGAATATGAAAAGGAATATATATGTATAACTGAATCACTGTGCTGTACACCAGATATTAACACAACATTGTAAACTGACCATACTTCAATAAAGAAAAAAATGTGAATTTGAAAGGGGTTATGCCCATTTCCTCCCAAACATATGTTTAAATTATGGTCTTATACATTCCTTGAAGTAGGAAAATTCTGTTCCTTAAAAAGATACTTCGCCCTAGGCCAGCATCTCCAACATCAGCAATGATGTGGTAGCGTTAACTTATTTTTGTTTTTTGTAGTTTCCCTTCTTTCAGTCTCTCTGAGTTTTGCTCCCTCCCGGCCTCTTTTAAAATGAATACTTTATTCAAGAATATTATCTCGGATTACTTAAATAACAAACCAGAAAAAGTAATGAAACAAAGACTCAGTGTTCCCCCAGTCTTTCTGTCTTAATGATTTCTAGCCACAACCAACTGAAATGATTCTTTAAAAATATTTTAGGGGAAATTGGATAAAATGGAATAACTTTTCATAAAAAAAATGCCAGTTGAAAATGGAACCCTTTTGTGAGCAGGTACCAGCTGAGAATTAGAACTGTGGCAGTGGTCTTTAAACTTTCTTGTGTGTGTAGCCTTTAAAATAATAAGAAAAACTAAGCACTTTCACTTATAAGTCA